ACAATATATATCCCCGTTGCGGGCTGGTGGTGGTGGTGGGTGCGCGGGTGGTGGTGGGTGGTGGTGGTGGTGGTGGTGGGTGGGTGGGTGGTGGTGGTGGTGGTGGTGGTGGTGGGTGCGGGGGGGGGGGGCGCCCATGGGGCTTGGCCGCTCGCCTCCAGTGGCAAATTGCAAGAGGCTGCGAGCGCGCCGCCGCGCGGGGTGGCGATCCCAAAAGCAGAGCCGAGGATCGCGTTGGGGGACGAGATCGCTCTTGTCCTCCCGCCGCCGCCGCCGCCGAGGTCCCAGAGCTGGACGACACCATTGGCGCGTCCGGCTGCCAGCACGCGGTAAGGCGGCTCCGGCCTCCATCCGAGGCAGAGGGGCAAGCCCGCGGCGGCGCTAGCGCGTAGCAACCGTGCCGGCGTGAGTCGGAACCAGAGTGCCACGGCGCCGCCCGACGCGGCCAGCCCAGCCTAGTGCGAGATGCTACCGTGAGCGAGAGCGAGCGGCGGGCCTTGCGCGCCGCGAGAGAGGAGGCCGACCAGATCTGCGACGCGCGGCAACGCCCACACCCGAATGGCTCCGTCGGCGCATGCCGCAGCGAGCAGCCCCATGCGGCCAAGCTCGCCCTCGCCTCCCGCGGCAGCGGCGGCGTTGCCCGAAGGGCACCACTCGAGGTCGAGCACGCCGCCGCCGTCGTGCAGGAGCTCCGCCCACCTCTCGCCGCCGCCGCCGCCGCCCGCCGCCGCCTCGGGACGGACCCTCCACAAACCGAGGGCGTTGCTGCCGCCCCGCAGCTCGTGCGTGGCGTCGCTGACGTGCGTGCCCACTGCGAGCATCTCGCTGCCGTCGGGCTCGCCGCCGTCTCGAGGCAGCCACGCGACCGCCCACACCTGCCGACACCGCTCCACCTCTCAGAAGCCGCGGCGTGGCCTTTGAGGGAGAGGCAAAGGGAGGAGGCAAAGGGCGGAGGGCAAGGGAGGCCGGGCTCGAGCTGGCCGAAGGGGGAGGCCGAGGCGGGGAGGGCCGCACCGGTGCCCCAGTCGCGCAGAGCAGCGCGTCCGCCGCCGCGACACAGCTGCCCGCCGCCACATGGACGCGCGACTCGCCTCCGCAGTCTGCGACGATGTCGAGCGAGAGACCGGCAGCAGCAGCCGGCGCCGCAGCCGCGGTGGCAGCCGCGGTGGAAAGCGCACCGCTGCCGCCGCCGCCTGGTGGTGCGTCTCCACCCGCGTCTTCAAACGAGACGTCGCCGCGCCGCGGCATCAGGTCCGGAAGAGCTGGCGAGACGGCGGCCGCAACCGCCGACCCAGCTCCGCTCCGCGCGGCGCCCGGAGGCGGCAGCGGCCGCAATATGGGCTGCCACGTCGTTTTTCCGACGACGAGCGGGCCGCACTTCTTCTGCGGCTTGGAGGAGACCGTGGCCTTGCCCTTGCCTCGGCCGTCTTTTGGCTTCTCCTCCTCCTCGTCGTCGTCGTCGTCGTCGTCCTCGTCGTCGCTCGAGTGTTGAAATTCCTCCTCGTCGTCGTCGTCGCCATCGTCCACCGCCTCCATCACCGCCTCTAGGACCGCCACCTCCTCCCCCGCCGCCTCTGCTCCCGCCAGCACCGCCTCTGCCACCACTGCCTCTGCCACCACCGCCTCTGCCACCACTGCCTCTGCCACCACTGCCTCTGCCACCACCGCCTCTGCCACCACCGCCTCTGCCACCACCGCCTCTGCCACCACCGCCGCCGCCCTGCCTTCCGCCACCGCCGGCGGAGGAGGACGCAAGGCCTCATCGAGCTGTGAGCTATCGCAGCGCATGCAACGCCACTCCGAGTCATCGCCCGCCGCCAGCAGAGCCTGTAGCTGCGCCTCGCCCACGCAGGCGCCCACACACGGTGCGCACCAGCCCCAGCCGCACTCGCTGCAAAGCAACAGCGTCTCGTCCGCCTCCGATGCCCCTCCCGTGTCGAGGCCACCGCACAGGTGGCACGCCGTGTCCTCGCGGTCCTCGTCCCTGGGCCACCCGATACCCTTGTAGTACTGAATGCGGCGGCCGTGCAGCGCACAGATGGGCACCTTCAGGTCGGCGTGCCATCCAGCACCGGGCTGCGAGCAGCCTGCCACTGTACAACAGCCGAGCGGGACTGCAGCTTGCTCGCGCTCGTTCTGAGGCACCGGCACCTCCAGGTAGTTGACGCGCTGCTTCACCCTCCGCGGCCGGCCAGGCTCCATTTGGGCAGGTGAGAGTGGGTGGGTGCAGGAAGGGTCAGAGGCAGCCTCAGCACCCTCGCCCGGACCAGGTTTGTTGTTGTGTGTGTGACGGGGCATTGGGAGACCCGATCCGTTTGTTTGTATTATTAACAACGAAAGCGCTCTCAAAGAAAAAATCAAAGGCCCATGTACGGGAGTAAGGAGACACCTCCCATCCCTCCCTTTTGGCGGTCTCTGTTTTCTTGCTTTCTTTCTTAGACTCCTGAAAGCAGAAAGGGCAGCCATAACAAGGTAGCGTTCGGTCGCCAGCTCTCCAGCTCGTCGTTTGGTCACCGAGGAGAGGGAACGAAAGCACACCTCAAACTGCAGGACGTGCATCCTGGACGCATCCCCTCCTTGTCCCACTTATCGAATTTGTGCAGGCGAGAGTACTCGTCCGAATTCCGGCGTTTTTCATAATCTCATCCTACTACGCTACTAGTACTAAGCGCTCTGCGTGCACCCCCGTGCAGACTACCCGCGACCGCCCCGCGACTCGCCGGCGCAGTACCAGTAGGATTCCTACCTGTACGCGTCAGTACTACCTACTACCGCACGGTACCCTGAGCCCTGGTCTGACAGCCTGACAGCAAACCCCGGACAGCGCCTGACAGTGCCCGACAGCCTGACAGCGCTGACAGCACTTTCTCTGACAGTCTGACAGCACGTATCTGACAGCCTGACAGCAGAGCCTGACATCAGAGGTGACCCGTCGCTGTCAGGCCCTAACGTGACAGCCTGACAGCTGCCCGACAGCCCGACAGCACACAGTGGCCTGACAGCAGCGCTGACAGCCCGACAGCCCGACCAGCCCGACAGCAGCACAGACCGTACACAGGCCGTGCAGCCTCTTCTTGTGCCCCATGAGGGTATAACAAAACTATTACATGCAAAGACATGCGAGTGTGGTCCATGTAGTCATGGGATGGAAATTGGTCATGTGGATCTCTCTCCCAACCCTCCGCCCCCACCTCTGGCTCTGCGGACCCCTCTCTAGCACCGGCGGCTGTGCTACTACAAATGAAGCTACCAGCTAGCCTTCTGTGGTGTCGGCGGTCAGTACGACCGATCAGGTCGGAGTTTTTTAATGGTTGGAGGGTCTATCTGTATGTACTCCTCGAGATCTCTCCAAGTCTGCCCTCTACTTAACCGTACTTAATCGGGAAGTTGGTGCTAGTAGAGACTAGTAGAGCCGGGCCCCGTCGTTCCGCACTGCGGCGTGGCGCACGGCGTGCGGGGCCGTCCCGTTTTGATCTCTCGGTGAGTGGGGGGCCGAGCCGCCTCAGGGTGGCGGGCGGGCGGGCGTTTTGAAAAACACAGAAAACAGAAAGCAAGAGGGGGCCCGGGGGCCCACAGGACCCCACACTGGGAGTAGAAAATACGCCCAAGGGGGTCAAGGAGGCGGCGCGGGGAAGCACAAGCTCAGCATCAGGTGAGAGCAGGAAGGATGGCGCTTAGGATCGGCTTTGAACAAGGGTTTCCAGGTTTTAGATCAGTATTGGTGTCGGCACACATCCCCATACATGAGGTCAGCGGCGCGCAGTGCCTCTCTCGCGCAGGCTGATTTTGGCTGTTTTCGAGCTTGTTTTTGTTTTCAGACTAGGGGGCCCGGCCCCCTCAGAGGCGGCGGGCGGGCGCCCTTTCACCGAGAGATCAAAACGGGACGGCCCGGGCACGGTGCCTCCGCCCCGCGTCCGCCGCTCCGGGGGCCCCCGCGCCCCCCGCCAGAGATGCGGAGAGAGGCTCGAGGGACGCTGCTTAGTGCTTTTGTCTGCCGCCCTCAAGCCAATGAATTGCAATTCTTGGGCGAAAGAAAATAATCGATGCCGAAGAAGGAACTTCGGCCCTCTCACACACAACCTCGGGGGGGGGGGGGGGGGAGGCTCCGCGGACCGCGCGGCTGCCGCCCGCGCCCCGTTCCACACCGTTGGCCCTCTCACGTCAGCCGTCGCCGGCCGCCGCCGGCCGCTCCGCCGCCGGCCGGTCGAGCGCGGGGAGGCGGTGGGCGGCGAGATAGAGCAGCTCGGTGAGGAAGGCGCTGAAGGCGTCCGGCGCCTCGCCGCGGTAGTCGAAGAGCACGCTCGGCCGCACCACGCGCAGCAGGTACTGCTGCATCTCGCGCACGCGGCGCTGCGACACGTTGGCGAGCGTCGGCATGAGGCCGTCGCGCCGCAGCCGGTCGGGCGGGAGGAGGAGGACGGCGCGGTGCCACTCGATCGTCTGCTTGAAGGGCCACGCCACCTTTCCAAACTTGAGCGACGGGTAGTAGGTGTCAACCCGGACGGGGATGCAGCCGGCGGCGACGATGTAGTAGAAGCGCTGGGTGAAGCCGTCAGAGTCGCCGGTGGGGGCGACGCAAAAGGTGGTGCGCTGCATCCGGCGGATGGTCTCCACCGTCGAGAAGGGCATCGCGTTCTCCTTGCGTGGGTCCGTCTCGTAGAGCTCGATCCTGCGCCGAGGCACACACGGAGCACGCGTCAAGTGGCGGGCGGGAGACGGCGGCGTAGCAACCGCGCGGGAGCGGGCGAGGTCTCTCCTCGGCTGGCTCGGGCAATCTCGGGTAATCTCGGGCAATCTCGGGCAATCTCGGGTAATCTCGGGCAATCTCGGGCAATCTCGGGTCTCTCCTCGGCCGACTCGGGTCGCGGCGGTGCAGCTCCGACGCCTGCGGGGCGGCGGGGAGGCGGCGGGTCTTGCTCGGGCACCACACCGGGCACGGGCGTCACGTCCGTGTCAGACATAGTAGATGGGTGCGTGCTAGTCGACTCCTTCGGTCGGCCGGGACAGGGTTACAAGTGCGGGGTTGGGAGTAACACTGCAGCGGCGAGCGGGCTCCTCGGTGGCACGCGCCGGACCTATCCCCCCCGGCTGCCCGCCCGCCCCCTCCCCGCCCCCGCGCCGCTCGCCTCTCGCAGCTGCCTTGCCACCTCGGAGCGGACCTTGTTCCTGCTCGGCGACGCCATCAGAAAGACTCGCGTGCTGCGCGCGCCGGCGTCCGGCTGCGCGCGGACCAGCTCTCGCGGCAGCGAGGCGAGGTACGGGATGGTGACGTCGAGCCGTGACTTGTTGCGGTAGCCCGCGCCCGTGTGCGCGAGCATCGAGCCGCCGAGCCACTTTGGCATGAACATCGAGTCGAGCGGGAAGAGAAAGAGGTGGCGGTGGGGCCAGCGCGCAAAGTGGGGCAGCGAGTCGCGTGCAAACTTGTCAAAGCTGCCAAAGAAGGCGTGGTGCGCCGGCCCGTTGACCCGCGACATGCCGTGCCCCCACCCGAGCATCGCGTTGCAGCCGAGCAGGAAGGGCACCAGAAAGACGTCGGCGCGCTCGGGCTCGCCGACGAGGGTCGCCACCTGCAGGAGCTTGGAGAAGATGGGCACATCGGTGCAGTGCGACCGCAGGTTCTCCAGGTGCGAGAAGCCCGTGTTTGGGCACGTGTCCTCACGGAGGTAAGCGCAGTTGACGTGCAGCAGCTCGCGGGCGCGACGCTCGACGTACTCGACGACCTGGCCGTGGTAAGCCCATGGGAGGCCGTACACGAAGAGACGCAGCCGCCGGCCGCGCTGCACGTCGCGACGGCACGGCAGCGGCCGCGGACCGGGCGGCAGGAAGCGCTTGAGGGCGGACTCCCGAGCGGCGTCCGCGGTCTGGGCCATGCTCGCAGTCAGGCCAATGCTGCAGGCGGTGCAGTCAGGCCTTTGCTGCCGCGAAAGCGGCTGCAAAGCTGGGACAAAGAAATGTTTCCCGGTGCGCGGTTTATAAGTCGCTCGTGTCGGCGGCGCAGAACGAGGCAGAGGAGAGCGACGCGACAGAGGAAGAAGCGACAAGGGAGAGCACGACGAGAAGGGGCCGACCGCGAGGTGGCACGAAGGTCGCAGCGAGAATCGGAGAGAGACTGCGAAGAGAGATAGGAAGAGCAAGAGGCGGACGCCCAAGGGTGGGCGACGGACGTACATGTAGCGCACCACACCCCTCTTCTTAAAATCCCTGTGTGGTGGCGGCGTGCCGTCGGTCCTCCCATCCCTCCCTTGGGTTGTCCGTTTTCTTTCTTTCTTTTTTCGTGTCGGCCATTCCGGCGTTTGATAGCTACCATTCCATCCCCCCCGCCTTCTTTCGAGGTCTCGAGATACACAAATGGCCAAACCCAAGAGATTTCTTGTTGGCTTCTAAAAATCTCTCTCTCCAAACCCAGAAAAGAAAGAAAGCCCCCGCGGACCAAGCTAGGGCTGGGTCGAGGACAGACACGTCCCCACCTTTGCAGGAATTTGCAAGAGCGAGGGGACAGGACACCCGTGAATGGCTTAAAGGTTAAAGCTCATGGCTTTTTAAAACACCGTCTTATCCTTTCGCCTGCGGAAATGACCGCTCCCTGGCGTGGCATATCTCGTCAACCTGCATGATGGGGGGAACCTCGCTGCATATGAGCCGGGCCACTGCGTCGGGAGCTGCTGCCAAAGAAGGTCGAGAGCTTTGCTGAGCAGCGTGTCGTCGCTGTGTCGGCCGGAGCCGTCCACAGCCTCGCCCTCACCGCCGACGGAGCTGTCTAGAGCTGGGGCGATGGTTGGCGAGGCAAGCTGGGCCACGGCGACGAGCAGAGCCAGCCGCTGCCCAAGAAGGTCGAGGCCTTGGCTGGCCAGCACGTCGTCGCTGTGTCGGCGGGAGGCGGCCACAGCCTCGCCATCACCGCCGACGGCTCCGTCTGGAGCTGGGGCGACGGGCGTTGTGGCCAGCTGTGCCACGGCGATCAGCAGGACCAGCTGCTGCCCAAGAAGGTCGAGGCCTTTGCTGAGCAGCGCGTCGTCGCAGCCTCGGCTGGAGAGCACCACAGCCTCGCCATCACCGCCGACGGCGATGTCTGGAGCCTCTGGGGCATGGATGGACCCTGTTTTTCTTTGAGAGCGCCTTACGCCGAATAATAAAGCACGCGCGGACCAAGCTAGGGCTGGGTCGAGGACAGACACGTCCCCACCTTTGCAGGAATTTGCAAGAGCGAGGGGACACGGGACAGGAAAGAAAGAAAGAAAGAAAACAGACAGCCCAAGGGAGGGATGGGAGGACGGCACGCCGCCACCACACAGGGATTTTAAGGAGAGGTGTGTGGTGCGCTAGCCGTCGCCCACCCTAGGGAGTCTGCCTCGAGGGGACAGGACACCCGTGAATGGCTTAAAACTCATGCTTTTTTTTCGCGAGAGGGCTTCTACACGCGTACAGTGCAGACACATATGTGTGTTTATATGCGGCGCGCCGCCCACAAGACACTCCGGCTGGTGCTCGACGAGCCGCCGCCGGTCGCCGACACAGCGCGCTGCGACGGCCGCGGCGACGCCGAGCTCCGCCGGCTGCTTGTGCGAACAGGCGTGCTTCCCAAGGCGAGCGGCTCCGCCTACGTGGAGATGGGCGAGACCAAGGTGCTGTGCGCCATCTTTGGGCCGCAGCAGGCCGACGGCCACGACTTTCTCAGCCACGGGCGGCTCGAGTGCACCGTCAAGTTTTCCGCGTTTGCGCGCCGCACCACGGACCCGGCCGCCGCCACGACCGACGCGAGTGCCACTGCCGCTCTGTCGGCCTCGCTGTCGGCGGCGCTGAGCGGCTCGGTCCAGCTCGACCAGTACCCGAAGAGCCTCATCTGCGTGCACGCCATGGTGCTGCAGGACGGCGGCGGCGCGCTGCCCGCGCTCGTCTCGTGCGGCTCGGCCGCGCTGGCACACGCGCGGCTCAAGCTGTACGGCCTGGTCGCCGCCTGCGGCGCGGCCATTCCTGACGAGGGCAGCGGTCGAGTGCTGCTCGACCCGTCCGCGAGCGAGGAGCGCGCCGCCAGCAGCCGGCTGGTTGCGGCCACCGTGCCGGAGCTGTCGCATCTGCCGCTCCTCGAGCAGGAGGGGCGGGCGCAGTTCGAGGCGGTGGCGGCGGCGCTGCGGCACGCGCTCGGCGGCGCGGCGACCGTGCACGAGCGCATGCGTGAGGCGCTGCTCGCGGAGGGACAGACGGCCTCCTCCGCACGCAAGCGGAGCCGCGGCGGGGGAGGGGCGGTTGACGCGGCGGCTTGAGACACACTGAGGTTTCGCTATGGCGATATCAGCTTGACGCGAGACGGTACACGGACAAAAATGACACCGCCGCGCGCAGAGCAGACGGAAAACCGTGGCTCGGACGTTGGACCACGCACCAATCACCCCACCCCCAACCCGACCCCGGCCCATCACGACATGACAAATCGACCGACGCACACGCGAGAGACCACCCCGCGCGATAATGCGGCAGGCAGACCGAGACGCCCCGCCCAGGGTCGCCACAGCGGACGGCCGACCCTCCTCTATCCTCGGTACCTCGCCGCCTCGTTTGTCCCCTCCCTCCCCCCCCTGCCCCTGTCCCCCCCCGCCCCCTCTCTCTGTCTCGGTCTACACGGACTACGTCGTCGGAGAGCGCGCCACACCACCGCAACACACTCCTGAATGGCGTTGTGTGTAAACCACTCACGACCTCTCAAAGATCAGCTCGAGCCGTTCCAGCTTGAGCTGTTGCTGCTGCACTTGCACCTACAAAGGACCTCTTTCGATCAGAGCTCTGAGAGCGGCTCCGCATATACAACAAGCGATGGCGAGGAAGCATCTAGCGTGACGCCTGCAGCAGCTCGTTGGACCGTCGCAGCGACTCACTTGAGTTGCGCAGCCTCTCATTCTCGAGCCGCAGCGCCGCCAGCTCGTGCTGCTCCGAGCGAGAGCAGCTTCCGCCGCCGCCCGCCCCTCCGCCCGCCCCTCCGCCAATCCCAGCGCCCCTGCCCGCATCGCCACGGGAGGACGAGGTGCCGGCCCACGCGGCGGCAAAAGGAGCAGCACTCTCCACCGCCACCACCGCGCCGGGCGCCTCATCTGACGCCGGCGCCGCCGACTCGGGGCTGGGCTCGCTGGGACGCGCGGCGTGCTCGCTCGAAAACCCGCGCGGGGCCGCACTCGCCGCGGCAAGGCGGCGGCCGAGGTCGGCGTTCTCCTCCTGCAGCGCCCGCATCGACGCCTGCAACTGCTGCAGCTGCAGACCTTGCGCGTCCACTTGCACCGTCGGCCGGTTCTGGATATTCTTCGCGCGCGAGGCAAAGAGGAGCGTGTTGGCCGTCTCCTCGAGCATGTGCAGGGAAGGGGACACGCAAGCGAGCATGAGCGTTCGGCCGTCGCCACCAAGGGAGTCCATGAGCAGCTTCGTCAGCTTCGAGTCGCGGTACGGGATGTGGCCTTGCCGTCTGCGCGCGTCGGACAGCGAGGAGATGACGTTGCCGAGCGCAAAGAGCGAGCGGTTGATGTGCCCCGTCTCGGAGGCCATCGCACCCTCGGAGCACGAGTCCTTGAGCCGCTCCGAGCCAGCGAGGTCGACCAGCGAGATGCGTCCGGTGCAGCCCGTGTTCGCGTCCTTTAGGTGCAGCGTCATGAGGCAATGCGAGCGCGACGAGTCCTTGTTGAGCTGGTGGCTCGACACCTTGCGATTACGCGTCCCCTCAGCCAGCACGGCCATCGCGTCGCCGAGCGACTCGCATTCAACCTGCAGCAGGTTCTGCACGAACGGCCCGAGCCGCGCCTCGTGTCTCAGCTGCAGGTTGACCGACGCCGGATTGAGGAGGTCGTTGAGCTGCTCGTTGTAGATCTCGAGGTAAGACGCGCTGACGGTGACGCCCGCGTGCTCCCGCCCGTGGGCCGTGAGCTCAAAGAGATCGGACAGCACCCGTGGAATCAGGCCGTGCGGCCCATCGTCCAGGGACGCGGCCGCGGCCTCCCTCCCATAGTCGATCGAGTCGGGGCCAGTCATCGTGAAGGTCTTTCCGGACCCTGTCTGGCCATACGCAAAGATGGTCACGGAGTAGCCACTTAGGGCGTCCATAAGCAGATTTCCCGCACGAGCGGCCTGGAAGACAGGCGCCTGCGCAGAGCCCGCAAGGCAGGCGTCGACCGTCAGTGAGCGCAGTGTGGTCAAGCCGTGGCTGCGGTCCATGACGCCGCGGGAGCCCCTCGCGTGCCCCTCGTCCATCCACTGAACGGTGCAGCCGTCATCGGCGCAGTAGACGCACTCGACATCGCCGCGGGCTCGCTCGTCGTGAGAGAGGGGCCGCACGCGCACAACCACCTGGATGCTCTCGGAGCCGCCTGCTGGCGAGCTCGAAGATGGCCCCGGCCGAGAGTGGCCGTATGGGCTCGCCGAACGCGAAGGCGCAGCGGAGAGCGGGCTCTCGGAGCCAGGGGCGAATGCCCGTGCGCTGGGCGGCGAAATCATGCCATTGGGGACCGAGGTGGGCAGGAGCCCTCCCCGGCCCATTTCTGCGACGCACCGCGCGCGAGCGTTTATCGTTACACTAGCAGACCTGGCGCGCACACCACGCGCGAGCCGATTTGTTTTTCTGATGTCTTGGAGGAGAGACAGTATCGGGTAATGAATTTTTATCTACATATCACTCTGAATCATCCCAGAGTGGTTCAATAACATGCCGCCTCTCGAGCGGAGCAGTATCGCCACGTGCGCGGAAGTTGCGCTTGTAGTTGTCCCACTGGTCATTCTGCTCCTCAATCAAGGCTGCCGGTGAGCTCCTTGCATGTGTGCTCCCTGTACCACCGCGCGCGGTGCCGATGATATGCTTTCTGCCCGTGCTCACCGAGGTCGTACTCGGAGCGCTCCGGTGGCCATTTGCCCTAGGTGAGGAGGCGGAGGAGGTGAGAGGCGGAGGAGGTGAGGAGGCGGAGGAGGTGAGGAGGCGAAGGAGGTGAGGAGGCGGAGGAGGTGAGGAGGCGGAGGAGGTGAGAGGCGGGGCTCACCTTCTCGGTGTCCTCGCGCGAGGGCCGGTGAGGCCGGCGAGATTCGTTGCGTGGCTTGCGTCTTGCGAGATACGGTTCGCGCCCAAACAAGTTTGGACGCTCTGGGACGCGCCGCAAAATCAAGAAAGCCGATGGAAAGGGGGCTACTGGGGCGGCCAAATTCACACCTCGCGGGACTACTTATGTTTTCGTAAACGTAGTCGTGGCCCCCCGCTACGTCGCACGACTGCGACTGGGTAGCGGGGGGCTATAAACTACACCTGCATCAGCCTGGCCTACACGGCGAGCGGCAAGAGTCTAACAGTGGGCATTTCGATTGCGGGCTTCTTCGAGGTAGATGCCACGGCCCTCTCTTTGGCATCAAGGGGATGAAAGTAAACGCTCTTGGAGCACTTGGAGTGCAGTCAGTAACCTCACATCCAGGGCCGGGGAGCTGAGAAGTAAAGAAATCGTACTGAGAGTCGCCGTCCAGCGCGACCGACATCGGCGGCGCGGGGTCGCCACCGGCGGCGAGGGGAGCGGCGTCGAGGGGGTCGGCCGACGGCGGCGAGGAGGCTGTGGTTCTGTGTACATCACATTGACACACACGTACACTAGCTAGCACGTACAGCAAGCTACGACGGCATATGCATATGTGCATTGGCATAGACAGAGACAAGATGCAGAGACAGTGGCCCACTGGAGGGTAGAGACAGGGGCATGGGCAGAGGCAGATACATACCAGGTCAGAGACAGAAACAGGGACAGGCCGACGACCAGCCTAAAGCCGTAGCTCGCCTCCGCCTCGCCTTCACCGACCTCGGCCAGCGCGCTGCTGCTCGCACACGCGCGCTCTACACAGCCGTTGGCACACGTGGGTAAAACATGTTGACGCCCTGGTCCGAGTACGAGGCGGGCGGAAGCGGCTTGTTTGGCCCCGGCTGCGCGATGCTTGCGGGGTCGGCTGCAATCGCAGTCGCGCAGATGGAGTACAGGTCCATGTCCTTGAAGCGCGCCCAGACGTCCCTCGGCACCTTCCGGAGGCAGTCCTGCTCCCGCACGCCGATGTTATAGACGAGCGTCGACACCATCCGAAACATGCTCTGCGTCATGAACGAGCGCTCCGGGTCGTACTCGCCCTTCACCGGAGCATTGTATCCCACGTAGAGGTCGATATCGTCCGGGTGCTCGTAGACGGCGGCGAGCTTGGCGTCCCACGGTGCGGCAAACTGGTCGAAGCTGGTGATGGGAGGGAGGTGGATTGCTGCGCGCACCTGGTTGAACGACCCCACGCGCTGCCCGCGGCTGCGCTCGACAACCTTCATCTCAAAGTTGAGGAGGTAGGAGGGGGTGTTGCCGAGGGTCTGGAGCGAGGATGGCGCGACTTGCGCCGCGTGCAAAAGCTCGCGCAGCGTCGGGCCCGTCGCGGCGTCGGTCCAGTTGCCGGGCTTGGCGATCCACTTCTCGGAATACGACCCGAGCGGGCCGAGCTCCTCTGGCGGCATGGCGTGCCACATGTACGACGTTTCGTACTCGAGACCCGCCGAGGCGCCCGTGAACAAGTCGCCTGTCAGATGCTTGGCCACGTTCAGGCCGGCGACCATCGGCGAGTAGCGGTTGAGCGGAACGTTGAGGGCCGCGACCTGAGCGTTGACCTCGCGCACAGTGCCGCCGTTGAGGAAGCCGACGTACTCGCGACGGACCACCTGAAAGAAGAGGAAGGTGAGGAGCTGCTTCGTGCTCTCGAAGATCCGGGGCCCGTCAAACTCGGGGTGCATCTTGCGAATCTCGACCGCCAGCACGTTGTGCACCGACTGGGCGCAAGAGAGCATGAAGTACATCCCCACGTGCACGTTCGTGTGGTTGCTGCCCGAAGCCCAGACGTTGGCTTTGAGCTTGCCGAACTTCAACGGCGGGCGTGAGAGGGGCGTGAGAGGGGGAGCGGCGGGCGTGAGACAGAGACAGAGACAGAGACAGAGACAGAGACAGAGACAGAGTCGAGGGGCGTGAGAGGGAGGGGGAGCGGCGGGCGTGAGAGGGGCGTGAGAGGGGTATGAGAGGGGCGAGGAGGTGGGCGAGCGAACACGGGCGAGCGTGTGGCGTGTGTGAGGGTGAGGCATGCCTTGAGCGTGTCGCTAGACTCCGGGGAGAAGGGGCCATTGTCGGCGTCCATGTATCGCAGCGGCCTGCCCGAGGAGTTGACGCGGACGGTGCCATCCTCCTTGTTCATCAGAAAGGCCTGCTGCTCCTTGGTTTGCCCGTACACGAACCCCATGTCGAAGTCGCCCGAGAAGTTGCGGGTGTAGTGCTCGCCGTCGGTCAGCACGCCGGACTGGAACCAAGTGGCGATGAAGAAATTGACCGTCCACATGGCGAGCACATTCGTGCGCGGGTTCTGCGGGGCCGGCCCGGCCGGCCACAGCGGCGGAGAGTCTCCCGTGGGCGGGACGCCGGGGCCCGTCACGCCAGCCTCCTCCAAGCACTGCGCCCACGGCGCGGCGTTCTCACTCTCGGGGTCGCCTCGATCAAACAGAGTCTTGACCTTCTCCGGCGCTGGGAGCCGCCCGCCATCCCCTGCCCGCTCAGGCGTGCGCGCGCCGCGGGTCCAGTCGAACCACTCCTCCTTCGCCTACGGCCAAAGACGAGGCACATCGGAGCGACGCTGCTCGACCGCGACGGCATCATCACGACCTAGCACGCACCAGCTTGTTTAGCGTGTAGACCCACGGCGTGATAGCGGGCCAGCTGGGGTTCGCAGTCAGCGGGTACCAGAAACGGCCAGCGGCGAGCACGCCGGTGTACATGGTCAAGTAAGGCATGTAACGTGCAGAGACGTGGTGGATGAGGGATGGCGGTATCACGAGGGTGAAGAAGTCCCAGAGCCGGTCGTTTGGATCGCCGCAACAGCACGCGCACTTTATTACGGCGTCGCAAATCAGCGTCACCGGCGTGCAGCAGAAAAGTCCACCCGGGCAGCAGCCAGCGGCGCAGGCAATGCCGACCGGCAACTCGAAGAGGCAGTTCATGCAGCAGCAGCACGCCGCATCGCACGGGCGACACAGAGAAGGGCAGCTATCAGGCGGGTAGTGCGAGTACTCTTCCTGGCGCGTCATCTCCGCCTGCTTGGGCGCCTCTATGCGACGCTCCTCCCGCTTCTGCTTGACGTAGCCCGCGGGCGGACGCGGGACATTTGGTCGCGCGATCACCATCGCGCGCGGCCGCGCCGTTTATAGTCGATAGTTCGATAGTTCGAGCGCGTCCGAGAGGGTGTTTTGGATCTGCGAGGGCGCAGGCGGCGGCGGCGCGGGGCGAGCGTCAGCAGCATAAAATGGGATGAGCACGGCGCGGGCTTGTTTTGGGGGTCGCGGGGGCGCAGTAGGCACGGAGGCGACCCGCGGCTCAGCAGCGCTCCGACCGCGATCCGATTGTGCCAGATTCGCCTCGATACTCGGATCGATCCGCTCGCACGGCGGTCGCAGCACGGCGTGCAGCCAGGCACGGGCTCGCTGCAGTGGTGGTTGTGGGGCGAGGCGAGAGGGCACGCGCGGGGGCAGCTCTCATCTCGCGCCGCGTCGCGCCGGGCGAGGGGCGAGGCGAGAGGCAATCACCGCGTACCGGGTAGGCGCGGATGCAACCGTGTTGTGATGGCTCGTGATGTGCCCCACTCGAGTAGCCGATCCCCTTCCTGCCCCGGGTGTGAAACCCACACTGCCTCTCACAGCAGACTGGCTCGGACTGGCACTACAAAAGCCCCTTATGACTGGCGTACTCTTCCGGCTGACCCCCCCCCCCCACCAATCCTCCCCGCCCGGGCTCTGGCTCCTCCTCCTTCGCTAGCGCCCTCGCCCCCCGCCGGCGGTGATTCCGTGCCCCCTCCCCGCCCCCCGTTTACAACCAAACTCCCTCGCACGACACCGGGCATAAGAAGCGGCGCAACGAGCTGGCTGCTGCCGACAAACACTGCAGTTGTATTTGCTACCTCACGCGCTCCGTCGCCACCTTAATTAATAACACCTTGAGCTCTCTGCCCCTCGAGCCCGGATCGGCTGCCACCAGCACTCGAGATGGCCGGACTACCGATCGTCATCCCCCCCTACATCCCCTTTTGCTCGCTCTGCATCCCTGCGCGTGGCTATGCTGTGTGTGTGCGGTCCCTCGAAGGGTAGGTAGGCCAGCCGGGCATCGATGGACGACATGGATGTCAGCAAGCAGTGAGCGGGGGCAGGGGCGGCTCAGGATCACAGACATCCCTCTCAGGATCACAGCACTGGCGGGGGCGCGCCTCAGGATCAAGCACCCACGGCAGGGTCTGTGGGGATCAGCAGACCTTGAGGGGGCGCGCTGAGGATCATAGGCCTGAGAGGGGTGCTGTCAAGATCACAGGGCTGCAAAGGGTGGCACTCGAGATCAGAGCGCCAAAATAGGTGCAATACAGATCAGCGGCCGTAAGTGGGCGCAATACAGATCACGAGCGCCGGAACGGGTGCAATATAGATCATGAGGGTTTTGTGGTCTGTGCGCGGACGGCCCGGGGAGCCTGCGGCGCTATTTTAACCTGCCCCGACAGAGTCTCTCGATACGGCGCGCGGCGGCGCCGCACCCAGCAAGCTGGGACCGCTCCTTACGGACTCGTCGCTGCGCTCCTCAAGGCAAACACGGAGCGCGCTGCGCGTGCGGTCTACGCCGAATACTGCGGCCGCCGTCACGACTGCCATCCTCGGCGGCGCCGAGCGCGCGAGCGGCGCCGATGGCCAGCCCGGCGCCACCTCCCAGCGACAAGCGCATGAGCGACAGGACGCGCATGAGCCGGTCCAGCGCACGTGATTGGGCGCGCGACGGTTTGAGCACGGGGGGGGTCATAACAAACACGGTACAGGATCGAGGTGCACGCTGCCGAAGCAGTGTCGTCCCCCCTCTCCCCGACGGTGATAGCGGTGTGACCGACCGAGCTACAAGAGGAACTTGTTCTGCAGGATCCGGGATAGTCAGACGCACTACCTCACTGGGCCTGAGACCGCCCACGACGTTTCCCATCACCGTCTCGGGTTTGTGGGGATTCGAACCACTCCGGAATGGGCAGGCCCATCGATTGAATCATTGTTTTCCACCTGTGGAGAGAGAGAGAAGGGGGGGGGGGGGTGGGGGGGGGGGGGGGGGGGTTCCTTTCCCTTTTTTTTAAGGGGGCAAGGGCCTTTGGGTTTTTGGGGGGGGGGGGGGGGGCCAAGGGGGGGGGGGGGCCCCCCCCTTTCACGGGGGGTTTTTTTCCCTCGGGAAGGTTTTTAAACCCAAAAAACCGGGGTTTCCAACCCCCCCCCCTTCCGGGGGGAATCCTTTTAAAGGCCCCCTTTGGCCCAGGGGGTTTTTGGAGAAAATTTCCCCCATTTCCGGCCCCGTGATCTGTATTGCGCCCACTTCCGGCCGCTGATCGGTATTGCACCTATTTTGGCGCTCTGATCTCGAGTGCCACCCTTTGCAGCCCTGTGATCTTGACAGCACCCCTCTCAGGCCTATGATCCTCAGCGCGCCCCCTCAAGGTCTGCTGATCCCCACAGACCCTGCCGTGGGTGCTTGATCCTGAGGCACGCCCCCCCGCCCCCGCCGGTGCTGTGATCCTGAGAGGGGTGTCTGTGATCCTGAGAGAGGCTTATCTGCAGTGAGCGTGCGCCTCTTCCCATCCCAGCCCACTCTCTCGCAACATACCACCCTCTCCTTTCCCGCAGCGGCGATCCGGATGGCAGCGTTTCCGAGTCTACCGATATTAGCAAGCACTGACCCCGTGGGGACATGGACGACAACGCGTCGAAGGCGAGCGAGGACATCGCCCCTTCGCCGGCTCGAACACGGCCAAGGGCGAGGAGCGAGGTGTTGGACGGAGAGCTGGTGTGGACGTCTCGTGCTCTGCCACACGAGTGCGCCCTGCGATAAAAAAGCTCTAAAGGGTGGCGAGATATTGGTAGAGTTGGGGGGTGCGTGTTGTCCCCTGTTGTGATGTGAGTGCGTGATCTGTATATCTGGCAGCTGCTGGCCCCCATGGTGCACACATGGACATTGTGCGCCGCTGCCAAGTGAGTGCTGAGCACGCCCTTGGCCTTGCTTGTCGATTCCTTGCATGGGCTCCCAAGGGTGTGGTGGTGGGCCCGCGCGCGGGCCATATCGGCACATCTCTCGCGGCCCTACTCTCTCCGAAGAGACGAACTCTCTCTCTCGAGAGTCTCTCGCCTCTCGGTGTGTCAATTTACAATTAAGAATTATTATTTCGGGGGTGGGCAAAACTAGGGGTGCAATTGATTATTGTTTCGGCTCGACGGATGCACTCAGCCGTCACATTCGCTCCACGCGATCCATTGTACCTCCCCACACTCGCTGGTGGCCGCCTCAGCCGCGCCGGCGAGAGAGCGACGAGGTGGGAGCTAATACGACGAGACCTCCGGCCCGCAGGGCGGCCCCCGGTACGGCGCCGAGGCGATGACGAGACCGCTCGGCCACGGCACCTCGCGCAGCTCGACGGCGTTGTCCTCCTGCGCCGCGGCGGAGTAGTAATGGCACGAGCGGCCGGCAAAGTCGTTGTACGGCGGCGTGAGCACGTCAAAGACGGCGGTATCCTGAGGCCAGATCGGGCGCGCAGCTGTGAGCGCTCCGCGCGCGGCGGTTGGGTGTGGGGGGGGAGGCCAGCATGAGGTCTCCTCGAGTGCGACAAACTCGTGGATGTTGCCGCGGAGCGGGTCGAGGCGCAGCGGCGGCGCCGGCGCGCGGACCACGCGCTCCGTCGGCGGCGCGCACCGCATCCGCCTCTCGCCCGTCTGCCTTCCCGCCAGCCGACCGAGGAGCGCGCCTGGCCCGCCGCCGCCGGCCGCGAGCGGCTCACCGGCGTCGTACGAGGTGACGTGAAGCGAGCCATACAGCAGCTGAGAGAGGACGCTCATTCCCGGGTGGTCGTGCAACGGGATCGACGCGCCCGCCGGAAGCACAAAGATGCCAATCGAGAGCGCCGCATCGGCATAGACGTGCATATAGCTTATCCGCGGCGGCCCGGCGCCACGGCGCGGGCGGCTCGGCCCGGGGCGCGCAAGCCCGACACTCTCCGGCGTGAGATCCGCCATCGCCGCGCAAGCGCCGTCCAGGTCTTGCGCACACGCTCGCTGGTAGATGTGCTGCACGAGGGCCGTTGGCGAGGCAGTTGCAGCCGCCGAGGCGGTCCTGACAGATCGGAGGCGCAGTATTGGACGCGAGGGCGAGAGGCCGAGCAGGACGCTCAGCAGAGCCATTTTCGAGAGCTAAACGCGGAAAAAGCAGAAAAAATTATGTTGTCACTGTCCGTTTTGCTGTTCACAGCTAGGGACGAACCAGCTGCTCGCCGGCAACTTCGCGGTGATGAAGGGGCTGCCGCGCGAGGAGGCGGGCATCTCGGACAATCTCGGCGCATCTCGGCGCATCTCGGCGCATCTCGGCGCATTTTGGCGCATCTCGGCGCGTATCGAGCAGGCGCTCGTCTTCTTCCGCGACGTGACCACGTTCCGCACCCTGCTCGCGGTGCTGGTGGGCCATGGCGCCGCTGTTGCCGCGCGTGGTCGCCGAGCTGGTCGGGCCGCTCGAGCTGCTCGAGTTCGGGGGCCACTTCGTCTTGCTCGGCCTCTACACGCTGCTGCATTCGGCGGCCGAGGCGGGCGGCTCGCGCGGCGGCCGCCACAGCGACTTCTTCGTCGTGTCCGCCCTCGTTTGGAAGCGGCCTCGAGGCGGCGGAGGCGGAGGCGGCGGCGGCGGTGGGGAGAGAGGTGGAGGTGGAGGAGGAAGAGACGCCGTGGTGGAGGCGGCCGCCGCGGACGTGGCCGCCGCGGATCGACGACTTTTAAGCAAAAAAAATCCAAGAGAGGGGTTGGAGGGCGGGAGAATCCAAAAAAGCCGTCCAAAAAGCCACAAAAAGCCAGCGAGCCTCCCGTTACGCGATTGCCGCGAAGCGCAGCATGATGCGTGGCCAGCTTGGGAGGCTGCGCCGCTGTCAGAGGCGGCCGCCACTGTGAGGTCTCGAGGGCCGACCGGCCGGGCGAGCATCCGCGCTGCCGACGACGTGCTCGAGGCTGACCTTCAGAGCGACGAGATTCTCGCATGCTTTGAGGAGGCGCTCGGCGAACGGCAGCCAGAGATGGGAACGGATGCTGCAGCAGGGCGAGAGGCGAACGCCGAGAGTAAATCGCGGCGCGGCCGTCGGTTGGGCGCCTGGTAAAACGGCCGCACGTGAACATGGGGCACGGTAATGGATGGGATAGGTAGAGCGGTTTAGTGGTCCGAAGGAATCAAGGCAGGGCAGTGAGCTCGCAGGCTGCTCAGTCGCCGTCGCCGCGTGTCAAGTCAGGACAGAGCTCAGAGGACACGCCCGGCCGCTGCGGCGTCTGTGGCTGAATGAGGTGCAGTGTTCCCGTGTCGGGAGTCGTGGTTGACACTCTGAGTTGACGGGGTCTAGAGTTGATTGTTGCAACTGGGTGAGTGGGTGTGCGCGAGCGGCGCCCACCTACAGTAGCGGGGGACATGGAGATGGCTCCTGACCAACCGAGGTTCATACGAGACCGTGGTAAAAGAATTCTTGGCGCCCTCGCGTGACAAGCGCTCCAATCGCCGAGCCCCTTGCCGACCTCCGTTCAGTGCCTTGCTGTGTGTAGATGCTCTTTCTGCCACTGCTGCTGTTGCAGACCTCGCCACCACCGCCGGCGCTTGCACCTCCGCCTCCGTCCCCGCCGCCGCCGCCGCCGCCGCCATCACCTCCGCCTCCGCCGCCGCCGCCGCCTCCGCCTCCGCCGCCGCCGTCGCCTCCGATCCCGACGAATGACACCTCTACTGGCCAGACCTGGAAGTTGAACGAAACGTCGCCACCCCCAACGCCGCCCCCCGAAGCCGAAGCGCAAGCGTGGCAGGCGCAAGTCCGCGCCCGCAGCGGAGGGAAGAACCAATGCGGTTGCAAAGGAGACAAACCGTACTGCAACACGCAAGGCATCGGCACCAGCTGCACCAATGGCAAGGATGGCGCGCGCTGTTCAGACACCCACGAATGCGCCTCCGAAACATGCCACTTTAATGACTTCCCAAAAACATACGGCCAGTCCAACGACTGCTACGTCTGCACAAAAGCCGGCGTGAACAAGTGCAAAAAGTTCAACGATGTCTGCGCAAAAACCGGCGAGAAGTGCAGCACCACTGCGACTGAAATGAACGACGTGACACAGGCCTGCTGCAACGGCTATTGCGTGTCCTTGTGCACCAATTGCGATCCGCGATACGTCAATCACTTCTGCTATGCTCACCCGCCGCCAAGCCCGCCGCCTTCCCCGCTTCCGACCCCCCCACCCCCTCCGCCCGCACCGCCCCCTCCCTCGCCTCCCGCGTCGTGCAGCCAGATCAATTGCGATCTGCCCCCAGGGCTTTGCAGCTGGACGGCCTCGGAGGCACCTGCGACCGTCACCTCTGGGCTCACTTTTTGGGACCCGCCCGACTCGTCCGAGCGGATGCAGCTCTGGGGGGATTGGAACGCGAAGTGCGGCGACAGCTTCTGGGCGACATCTTTTGACTGGGGTGCCATCGCCGCGCCCTCTGCAGTGACAGTTTGCACGGGAAGCATGTGCGCTGCAAGTTCGATAAAGGCGGCTTGCGATTATGATACCTGCTCCGATCCCTCTGCGGGCTGCAATTTCGACTTCAACATGTACGCAACCATACTCGTGTATTCCTCTCAGCTTCGTGTCGCCACAGTAGTGGAGGGGCTACCCGCTGGGGCGTCACGCGAGCAGCTGGGCGAGGCGCGCGAGCAACTGGGCGACGTGATCGACGGCCTGAACGCATACAAGGTGGCGCTGATGAACCAGATGAACCAAATCGCACACGCCCAACCAGAGTACAGCGCAGCGGGCCTGATCGGCACTCAGATCGCGACAGTTTCCTGGGCAAGTAACGCCCTCAGTGTGGCGTCTGGAGGCATCATGATGGGCAACTTTTCCGGCTTCGTTCCCGCGTTCAACCTCAACTTCTATCAAGAGAGGCTCGAGTCGTACTTCACCGAGTTCCAGGAGCTCCTTTTTTGTATGCAACGTATGGAAAAAATCCAGGACATCAACAACTTTCTAGTCACGAAGAATGCCATTGATGCATCTGTCACGACGAGTACTACGCAGGTCAGCATGGAGCAAACCATAGCTACCATCGAGAGCGCAGCAAGCGGCATGTCTGCGGCCCTCGTTGCGATGAGGCGCCTGAATGAGACCATCTACCAAGCCGGAGTCGACTTTCAGGAGTCGCTCGACGAGTACTACGCGCAAAAAAGGCGGGAGGCCATCTGGAACCTTGTGTTTGCTGTCGCGAACCTGGCCACCGCCTCTCGTGTCCCTATTGGGATGTTCAACGACAAGTGGAGTTTGAAATCGGGCGGCGATGTGGTGAGTCAGGCGTTGTGGGCAGGCGAGCAGTTCGCGAACAATGCCAAGACCATGGGGTCTGCAGCCTCGGCACTCGTATCGGCCAACGGCGACAAAGATGCGGACAAGAAGTTTCCCTCGAGTACCGCCGTCACATTGACAAATGGAGTGTTGACGGACCTCAAGGAGAGCGACGTGCCGGTCCCGGACGACATCCCAAAGGGCAAGGAGATGGCAGCACTCCAAGCGGCGCTCGACAACCTCAACGAGGCATATAATTTGCTCTATTTCCCGCAGGGTCCCATTATAGCATCGTCATGAAACGCGTCAGCCTACTGCCGCGGTAGGTGCTGCCGACGATGGGCTGGGGCTTCTGGACGGAGTACTACGCCAACATGAAGGAGTCCTACAACGAGTATCTGTACGCAAGCCCTTGAGTGAGCGAACAAGCCCTAGCTACGCAGTCCTGTCACGCCCTCCCCCGCCGCACGCAGCACGGGCTACAGCACGTCCATCAACGCTGCGGCCCAACACATCATCGATTTGATCGACGCGCAGAAGGACTACGGGAACGACTACGTCAATCAAGGGATGCGCTACGTTGGAGGCTTGCAGCAGTACCTCATCGATGCACAGACGCTTGACATCTACACACAAGCGAACGATGCGCTCGCCGCCGCCTACGATGATTTGGTCCCGGACGGCTACCTTCCTCTTCAGCAGAGCACGCAGGCGGTCCAGATCACAAGCCTAGGATTGCAGATGCAGGCCGTCGTGGTGCAGCTCTGCCAGAGCTACTCCTACCAAACCACCGGACTCTTTCAGCGTTGTGTGGCGGGGAGCACCGCGACCGAGAACTCACTTCACAACCTCTGCTACAACACCGCGGTTGGGGTTCTCCCATCCTTGGCTCCGCTGGATTATGATGTCTGCGGCTCAACTGTAGAATTCATGACAGCGGCCAAGGAGTACCTGGAACCGTTCAGTGAGATGAATGACTGGGCGCGGGAGGTGAACTGCTACGTGAACGAGAACCTCTGGGGTGGCAAGAACGATGTTGTCGAGGCGATTAACTACCCCTTCGTTGCGCTCAAGCTCGAGGTGTACAATGCCACCTGCGACCGCTCGTCCCCGAACATCACCGTCGAGATGGGATCGTGCATCATCGCAGATTGCCCGTCTTCTGATGACGCCGCGGTGAAGTGTTTCGAACGGTCGAGCACGACGTGCACCGACTACCTTGCCGGTGTCGAATGGGATTTGGCTGATGACGAGACCTGCTGCGAGAGCCGACGCGAGACGTTCAACTGCACCGAGCCACCGGGAGTGCCGCCAACGTACACGGACGGGAAGCTGAGGACGGACGGCTACACGATGCCCTACATTCGACTCGATGACTTTGAACGCTTTGTGGACCCTGATTCGGAGGACTGGGGGAAGCTTGTCATTTCGTGGGACATCGCGTATATTCGAGAAGCGACAGGCCTGACCAGCGATCAGGAAGGGGTGTTCGTGCGTGGCATCGCAGCTTACCTCGAGGGCGCAACTGTTGGGGACACAGTTGAGGACAACGATCAAATCATAGTGACCCTCACGGCGACCGGGGAGATGACCAACCAGGTCAAGATCCCTGACCCAGAGGGGTGCTACGCCGCGTCCTGCCGTTTTGACAACTACCCGTTCTCCGGAGCACCCTCCGGCCAAGCCTACTGCTACACCGCTGACGACGGGCATGAAACGTGCAATGACGATAACACCCTCAAGTACCAAGCCAGATACCGGAACACGAAAGGCGGCCCCGGCACCGGTTGCCAATTTGCAGCGGACGGCCAACCGAAGCCTGTGTTCACCAACGACAAACCGGCCCGCGACAAGCCGAGCGCGTGCGGAAAGCAGGATGCGTGCTTCGACGAATCACTGGAATGCCCCTGCTACTGCACTGGTGAGGAGTACGAGGAGACCTACCAGAATAAGTACTTCATGGGGGACGACCTATCCGGCCCTTACAACTCGGCAGGCCTTTTCTCCAGCTACACCCTTACGGTCACTGGCACTGCCTCGAAGAACGATCCTGGACGCGACGGTCAGCGGCGGTATAATATCAACCTCCACGGCGTCCAGGCTATCCACCTTGGGCTTTGGCTGAAGACGACATCAGCAGCAGACTCGGGCCAATGCGAAAATATTGCGTCTCCAGGGGGCCAGTGCGCACCGCCGCCGCCGCCTTCTTCGGGATGGATGGATGGTTTGATGGGTGGATGGCTCTGACCTGGCCTGAGGTGATGACGGCGATGCCCGCGCGCGTCGACTCGCGGAGGTCGTGGCGGGCCGTCACATGTAATATTGCCAAGGCCTTCTCCGCCTTCGAGGAGACAGTGTAACATTGCCGAGGCCTTCTCCGCCTCCGAGGAGACAGTGTAACATTGCCGAGGCCTTCTCCGCCTCCGAGGAGACAGTGTAGTATCGACAGGGCCTTCTCCGCCTTCGAGGAGACAGTGTAGTATCGACAAGGCCTTCTCCGCCTTCGAGGAGACAGTGTAGTATCGACAAGGCCTTCTCCGCCTTCGAGGAGACAGTGTAAATGAGAAATGCGCGCGCTGGCTACGATTTTCTGCCCGTGATATAATAAACGCGCAAAGTCGAGCACCCCTCGAGCCCCCTGCACGCTCACCGCAAAAACGGGTGACGATATGTGAATAGCTGCAGCTGCGGCCGCACCACCCGGCGAGACCATCCTCGCGCGCACGGGACGCTACAGGCGCGGGCGCGGGGGTGGAGGGTGCGTATGAGGCGGAGATGATGGAGGCGCTCGCCGCGTGCGACGATTGAGCGCCTCCCTCTCTCTCCGTCCGCCTCTCCGGCAGCGCGCCTGACCGGTCGGTGCGGCCTCCGAGTCGGCGTCTAGCGCGCGCGATAGGTTTTTTGCTCGCCTTCCCTGGGATCCCGTGTTTGCGTGACTGTCTCTCGCTTTGGTGTTTTCTTCTCATAACAAGGTCTGTGGGGAGGGTTGAACAGCGCCCACCATTGTGTGGATTCCGTTCCCAGGGGGTGCTGCGCGTTTGCGCCGCTGTGAGAAGTTCGTCGCCGTCGGAATGTGCAAGCCACCGCTGCTCGACAACCAGGCTACACATGCAGACGAGGCTGACGAGCCAGAGGACCTCCAGACCGCCTCGGAGGACTCCGCTCTGAAGCACCGGCTCGACCTCCAGACGGGCGAAGACGGGCTCTCTGACGAGGAGGCGGCGCGCAGGCTGCTGCAGCATGGGCGGAACGAGCTGCCGGACCTGCGCACGCCCAAGTGGCGTATATTCCTGTCTCACTTCACCGGCATCATGCCCGGCACCATCATTATCGCTATCATCATCGAGGGCCTGCTGCCGCCACCACACCGCCGCCGCCGCCGCCGCCACCGCCGCCGGCCTGCCGCCCGCCGCCGCCGCCGCCGCCTGCCGCCCGCCGCCCGCCGCATCTCCCACCCCGCCGTGCGCACGCGCCCGGCACCTCAATACTCTCGACTCCGCCGCGACCCTCCCCTCCACATCGCCAGTCTCCCTCCCTGCGATCGCCCACAGAGAGAGAGCGACGCCGTCTCTCCTAGCCGTCGCCTGCGCCAGAGAGCCCAGAGACACCGCATACTCTGCGCGCCGCGCAGGAGTGGCCCGACATGAGCACCCTCACCGCGCTCCTCCTCCTCAACGGCTTCGTCGGCTTCTTCGAGGACATGCGCGCCGGCGACGCCGTCGCCGCCCTCAAGGTGCTCACACGAGCTGACCTCTCCCCCACCCCGGTCTGCTATCTGGAGTGATCTGTCGGCGGTCAGTACGACCGATCAGGTTGGAGTTTTCTGATGGTTGGAGGGTCTCCTCGAGATCTCTCCAAATCTGCCCTCTACTCAACCGTACTCATTCGTATGAGCGCCGGAGCCCCGTTTCCGCACTGGCCACTGCTGCGCTGCGCACGGTGCCTCCGGGGGCCCCCGCGCCCCCCCAGAGCGCGACGCCCCCCGAACCAACGGGCCAGACCCTCCCAGAGGGTGCCACAGGGACGCCCAAAACCGCCCACAGCAGCCCCACACGACCCTCATGCCTTAAACTAGTACTCGGCTCTCGGCACAACCGCTCAAAGTTGGCCTCCCCCGGACGAGGTGTTTCACATTAGGGGCACCCTCCGGCAGGCGGCCCTGAGCCCCCTAGGCGGGCCGCCGCTGCTCTAGCGCGCAGCGACCCGATGGGCAAAGGGCCCCTACCCACCCCAGACACCCTCACGCCCTCTCCCCCGGCCCGCCCCGCCCCCGCGGCACCGAGGGCGATTCTGCGCGAGGGGGTCGCTGCTGCGGAGCCGCAGCGGCCGGCGGCGGCGCCGCCAGCGCGGCCGGCGCGGCCGGTGGCGCCGGTAGCGCGAGCAACGGCACCATCGGCGATGGGCTCGGCGATCGCCGATCGGCGAAGGCGCGTTGGGCAGCGCGAGAGGAGAGGTGGCTGCCGGTGCCGCCACGCTCTCCCGACGGCGGGGTCGGCGGGCGCGGCAGCCACTTCTCGCGACCACATGCGGATTTTATTTTGCCCAGTGGTTATGTCCGAGGCGCTGCGCTGGCTCAGAGCGAGTTCGCGCTGCGCTAGGCTCAGACGGCGAGTTTGAGCTGAAAATAAAATCCGCATGGGCGCGGGGACCCCCCAGTGTGCAATCTTTACCGGTACATGTATGAGACTGGTATTTGGCGATATTTTGATTAGTTTTGGAGTGGTATGGTATAGTGGTATGCGAAAGTGGTATGCGGGGTTTTCAGCAGTTGTAGCGGCTGTCGGTGTGGTCCCGGGGGCGAAACCATGCAAAAGTGCGGGTATTACCCGGGTATACCCGGGTTTTTCCAGGTATGCCCGCAAAATACCCGGCATTTTGCCGATTTTGCCGATTTTGCCACCAAGAAGGCACTCCGACTCGCTTTGATTTCCGTGAGGCAACTGGTATCCCGTACCACTTTTTGATTAGTGCAGGCCTTGGGTTTGATTAGCCAAAAACTCCCATACCGGTAAATGCACACTGGGACCCCCCCTCGCCCCTGCTGCTTGCCCATAACACTTTTAATTTTTCCGCTCGCCCCCGCCCCCGCGCCGCATATCGGATATCGCGCCCATCGCCCATGCCGCACACGGCGGGACGGCGGCGCCGCGCGCAACCGCGGCGGGACCACGTCAGAGAGGGCTCTACAACAGCATCAGAGGGCTCTACAACGGCTTGCGGGGCCGTGGGACACTCCCCGCTCTCTCGGCGCTCACCCGCCTCGCCGTCGGAGGGCGGCTCCGCCCGCTGCTCAGGGCGCCGGCTTGGAGTCCGCCACCACCTTGAGCAAGCTCTGCACCGAGGCGGCCCATCCCTCGAGCGAGCCCTGCAGCCGGCCGAGCTGCTCCTTCCCAAACTCGCGCTCGAGGCAGCCCGAGACGACGACGGTGGAGCGCACCTGGTCCATCTTTGCGACGATGAGCCCCGCCGAGATGGTCTCGACCACCCAGTGCTCCACCTCGTCCGCGGAGACGCGGAGCGCCTAAGGAGAGAGAGTGTGTGTGAGCGATATTGTTGCATGTGCTGACGAAGACGCACTCGATTGAGCGGTCGTTTGCCTCGGCGACCGCCGCATACGTGAGCTCCTTGTGCGCGACGCAGAGCGAGGTGAGAGAGAGCAGCCGCATCTTGCGCTCGAGCGAGGCGGTGTCGAGACCCTGCGCCTCGAGGAAGGCCGCGTGGGCCGGCACCGCTGCAAACTCGAGGAAGTCGCGCGCCATCTCGCGCGCGACGATGTCGAGCAGCCTGCGCGGGCCGGGAGAGGCGGGGGCAGGGGGTGACGCGGGGGGGCGGCGGCGAGGGCGCGGGCGCCGCCGCCGCCGCCGCGGCGGCGGCGGGAGCGGCGCGGAGGGGGGGGCGACGAAGGCAGCGGCGGCGGGAGCGGCGGCGGGAGCGGCGGCGGGAGCGAGCCTGGCGAGCGGGGCGAGCTCGGGGTCCGCCTTGAGGGCGGCGGTGACCGGCAGCTGGGCGAGCGTGTCGCAGGTGAGCAGCGCCGGCGAGCGCAGCGTCAGCAGCACGCACTTGACCAGCCGACTGCGCAGCTCGGCGTCCGCCGCGACGTCTTTGGCCGAGTGCAGCGAGAGGTACTTGACGCCGCTCTCGTAGGTGCGGTGCTCGTCCGAGCCGGCGTCGGCGTCGAGCGACGCGTCCAAGATGAGCCCCCACAGCTCTCTCTTCTGCGCCTCCGACAGCTGCCTCGCGCCCACCCAATCCTCGACTGTCGCCACCCGCCGCTCGGCTCCTCCCAGGAGCAGGTCGAGCGAGCCGCCGCCGCAGCGGGCGCAGAAGAGGAGCAGCTTGGAGAGCATCGCGAAGTGGAGCTGCTCCAGCCCGTGCCTGTGGGCGGGCACGGTTGCGGGGCGAGTGTGGCGCCGTCAGCCACGCGGCGAGGGGCGCCAGCGGGCTGGGGCCAGCGCCGCGGGCTGGGGCCGTGGCGCAAGAGGCGGAGTGAGGCGCGCCCGCTGACGAGGCCGTAGAGGGAGAGGAGGAGCGTGCGGCGCAGGGCGGGCCGCTCGTCGGTGGAGGAGGCGAGCTCGTCCGCCAGCGCCTCGATCATCCCCTCGATGAGCCCCCACTTGAGCAGCAGCTGCAGCAGCAGCGTGTAGGCGACCTCAACCTCGCCCTCGTCGGCGCTGCCGAAGCGCTCGCGGATGGCGGCGAGCAGCCGCTCGCCCAGCGCCTTGAACTCACCCTTCTCCTCCAGCGCCACGCACTCCACCTCAAACTCGGACGGCTGCACCGCCTCGGCCGCCGCCTCGGCCTCGGGCGCAGCGTCGCCCTCGGCGGAGGGGGCAGCCTCAGCAGCGGGGGCAGCCTCGGCGGCAGGCGGCGGCGAGATCCAGCGCGCCAGGCCCTCCACGAATGAGAGCGACGCGTTCGTGGCGAAGACTATCGACGACATGGCGGTGGCTCCACCCCTCGCGGCTCGGGAGAGAGCACCGTGCCACCGCTCGACAAAAGAATTGCGGTTAGACTTCGAAACGTGCTGCATAGCGCGTGTGACCTTGTCGCGATAAGAGTGCGACGAAGCGCTATTTCCTGCTCCCGGATCACCACCCGCTTCTCTGTCGCTCTCCTGGCCCAGGCCCATCAGTAGCAGGTCTGAGCTGTCCCAAACCGCACTTATCTCGGGTCTTCAAGCTCACACCGGCTCGTGATGCCACGGAGAGGGCTCCGAGATTGTCCCCGGTGGACCCCATCCGAGCCGATTGCGAGGGCAGTACGGAGGTCATTGTCGGCGCCATCGACTGTGAAATGTCCCGACCCAACAGCCCTCATGCACTAGGCTCATGGATACAGTCATAATATGTAGGCCTTTTCTCCCAATCTTTTGAGCACTAGCCGCAAACGGCGCTTCTTGGCACTTCATCGCGAGGAGCTACCTGACCAACAACTGCTCCGCTGCCTCTGCACAGGTGCTGGCCAGGGTTGTTGGCTGCCCGGCGGTGCCGGAGGACGTCCGGCACTACTGCTGCGCACGCGTGCGCACCTGGCGCGCACACGGTCTCCCGCCGGGAGCGCCCGTAACGCGTAATGAGCAAAGTGGAGGTGCGGGTCTCTGACGCCGTTGGCATTGGGGCATCTCAGGTCCCCAAAGCTCATCACCGACAACATGGGAAACGCGCGAGCCGAGCGGCAAAATTCAGGGTAAACCGCGCGCCGACAGTTTCAATACCGTGCTCCAAATACCGAGTAAACCGTGTCAAAGTTTCAATACCGAGTGATCTCGGGCGGTCTCGAGCGAGATGTCGGACATGGACGAGATCGCGACTCGGTGATCTCGGGCGGTCTCGAGCGAAATGTCGGACACGAACTCGATCGACGTGTGAATGAAGTGATCTGCGTGATCTGTTAGATGTGTGATGACGATCATCACGCCGTCGCGACTTTGTTTGGCGCTCTCTCACAACGCTAGGGAGAGGACTGGCGCACTGACACTAACACAAGTACACAAAAGAAATACAGACGCCGGTTTTCTGTCTAGCACCACACTCCTTCCTTTTCGCCTCTCCTGGTGCGGGATACCACAAAGCGCGCCCTCTGTGCTGCGCGATCGCCGACTGCGTTAGGTTAGGTTAGGCAGGAAGGTGAGAAGAACAGTCTGGCTCGCACTGGACACCAACGCGGTATGGGTGTCCATGACTGGAGAGGCGCTCCAGCCGAGCGTCGGCTGCTTCGGCCCTAGCTTCGGCCTTCTCGCTCAATCGATCGAGCCTCCAAAACCCCAAAACCGCGATGAATCGGCGCGGCAGCGGACTGACGTCAAAGGACGGCCGCGAAAGTGCACGACGACAGAAAACCTCTGTGTTGGCGGTGTGCTCCCCTCCCTCCCTCGTGTCTGTTTTCTTTCTTTCTTTCTTTCTCTTCTCTTTCTTATTTTCCGTTTTCTTTCTGCGGCTCCCCCTGCAGGCGAGTTCATCAGGTCGGCAATGCCCTTCATGCCCTAGCGTAAAAAGAAAATAAGGCACGTAATTAATAGTACCGCGGGTAACTGCAAGGCCAGGAGCTGTCGGCTGAACCTATCAGCATCATGACGGTGATGTTTGAGAGTGGCCCCTGAATATCGGCGTCAAATGGAAGCGCGAAACGACGCCCGTTGAATTCTTTATTAGAGCTGGCCTCACCGGCGCGGGCTCGTCGACGGCCTTACAAGCGGGCGGGCGGAGGAGCGAACGCACACGGTGGCTGGCATGTGGGCCGGAGAGGAGGGCGAGATGTCCATGCTGCCGCCTGGCTCCTTCGAGCAGCAGCAGCAGCAGCTCGGGCACGACGCGCTCGCGGCCGTCTCCTCGGCGGCGGCGATGGCGGGCGTGCCCGACCCGGTAGGCGAGGCGATGGGCGGCATGGTGGGCGCGCTGGGCGACGCGACCGGCGCGGGCGGCGGCGGCATGGGCGGCGGCGGCGGCATGGGCGGGTGGAGCGGCGGCGACCCGCAGGAGCAGTTTTATCACGCCGAGGGCATGCCGCCCGAGGCGTATGGGATGGGCATGCCGCCGCAGGCAATGCCCGAGGGTCCCTGTGTCACGATGGCCGCGCTCTCCATCCGGCAGCCCTTCGCCTCCCTTATCCTGTACGGCGTCAAGCAGCTCGAGGCGCGCACGCGGCCGACGCTCGAGCAAGACAAGACACTTCCTAGACACTACCTAGACACTACCTCGACACTTCGTAGGCGCGCACGCGGCCGACGCTCAAGCAAGTGCAGGGCCCGCTGGCGGTCCACGTCTCCCATAAGGAAGAGCCGTACGACTCGCACCTCGTCTCGATGGCAACTTCTCGGAGCCTTCTCGGAACCGTCTCGGAGCCTTCCGGCCTCAAGCCGCGGGGGGGGGGCGCTTAATAGGCGATTGCGATCCTCCGCCGCCGCTACCCCGACGAGGCCATCTCGCAGCTCTTCCAGCTCCCCGCCGCCATGGCGCAGGGACACGGGTGCGTCGTCGGCATCGTCGACGTCGAGGCGCCGCCTCCCTCCTCCCTCCTCCCTCCTCCCTCCTCCCTCCTCCCTCCTCCCTCCTCCCTCCTCCCTCCTCCCTCCTCCCTCCTCCCTCCTCCCTCCTCCCTCCTCC